GCCGGGGCTTTTGCCAAGTAGTCTGACATGACCATCATAAGTAAAATAAACACATAATTACCAGAATATGCACTTCATCCAACAAACTATTAAGTCCGAAGAAGGCAATTCAGCTTTCAGCCAGCCATGTATCATGCTTACAGGAACCAGTTTCCTTCCCAATTCATGCATTCTTCTGCTGATAAGACCCCCACAGCTCCCAATGCAACACAGAAACCGATAACATCCATTTCATTAACAAAGCATCAATGCTAACTTATACAGGGTGATAGACAGATAGAGGATAGAGCCATATAAAGTATGAATAGGTTCCGTAACACGTGGTCCACCTATGCATCCCCGTAACCTCCAGTGGTGGTAGGGGCAGTAGACCAGCCCTCACAAGAAAATATACAAAGATAAGGACGACCTGAAAAGGGATCATAGAAACCATGGACATGGAGATGTTTGCCATCTCTTGAGTTTTTGCTATCTGTAGAAATTAGTCGATAAAGTGGCCTGCTCCTGCTCCCGAATGTAGCTAGGAGTACCGAGAGAAAGGAGCAGAGAGAGAGATTCTCTTAAAACTGCACCATATTTTGCATGCCTAAACCGCTTAAATTGACCAAGCTGTGAACAAATCAAGTTTGGACATGCCTGTTCTCTGCTTGAAATAAATGGCTGAATCTTCCACTTACTCGTCAGCCAAAATTAAGATGTAAATAAGGGAATCATCCGGCAGAAAGAAGGTTCCTTGATGAGCTGATGCCAATTTGGGGGAAACTGTATGGTAACTGAAGATCCCATCATTTCAATGAGTGAGAAACTGTAATGAGGCATTTATCAATAAATGAGTGTGCTTATATCCAAAAGCACATGTCAGGTCAAACATAAAAGCCATCTAATACTATTGAAGCATGGTTTTGTTTCCAATTCGAGGAGGGTCTAGAGCTAATTTTTTCAGTGCACTATGCCACTCTTCTTTGCTTTTACCTTTGGAAGCACAGTCCAAAATAATAAGAGCTAAAATGCATCTCTAAAGCTTCCTGTTTAATTTCTAACGTGAGACGGATCAACCAAGTAGAAAACCGGGACAACTTTCCGTCCATTATTTTTTCTGCATTCAAGAATCTTTACAAGCTCCTCTCAGCACCATTTGGAAGATGCATAGTTTTCAGCAAAAAATAATCACAAAAAGCTTGGACTCTTCAATTGCTTTCAAAAGTGATGGAGAAATTCCATCTTCTCTCCAAGCTCGTTATCTATGAAGGTTAGGATTTGTTTACGCTTCAAAGCATCATAGAGGCAGCAGGTATAACCAGAAGGAGGGTCCTCTCCTCTTAAACGAAAGACATCATATTTCTTTGGAGGGGTAGGGATTGATGTTGAAGAAGAAGCCATGAGAAGAGAACATTCACATCATAATTGATCTTGATTTCCTTATAAGGTGCTTCAAATTGCATGCCTTTAGTTGAATTGAATGTTCTTGACACCAGATCCCTCCACACCCAATCTCCTGCTTCTTTACCCTCACTAAACCAAAATAAATCAGAAGAGCTCCAATGAATCTCAAACCAAAAGTCCGCAAGCATGGCCTCAATAGAGGTCGTTCATATCTAACAAGCAAAAACATGGGAACTCACGCTGACATCAGGTGCTTAAATTGCACGATTTGCGCAAACGCTCAACACTCAAGGGACACTGTAAACATGCTCATTGCCTCCTTAGAGGTTAAAGTGAATGCCTATTGCATTAAGCCCGTGACAGAGAGGGTCTCTAATCTTATGCCTACATGTCACCATTTATGTATTGCTAAATGCATTACTGCAATCAGCTAAATTTTCTCAAGCAGAAGCAAAAGGACGTACAGGAACATCACATGATAGATGCTCAATATTAAATTATATTGAAGTCCAACATTTAACAGTATCCATTTAGCCTTTTTATCAGCTACCTTCACAGTGACGAGAGAAAGGGAAATTGGGAGTTCGGAATAGGCAAGGAACGACAACAATAATGATATACAACCTATTGTGCTCATTCATGCTTATGTGTAATAGGCCAATCAAGACTGTAAAATGAAGTTGTACACGAGGAAGATGATCTGCCAAATACACAAGAAATAACATTCTCTGCCTTGTGAGTGGCAAGTGCTCTTACATCACCTATCCTACATTCTAATATCAAGTGCTTCATTGCTTGTGTAAACTAAAAGCAGGCAAGATAAGATCTCTAAAGTGCATTCAAGTATGTGCTCAGTAATGCTAACTACAGGCTTCTCATACAAAAACCTAACAAATGAATATAAACAGCAATACGCATCATGTTTGCATAGCATATAAGTGGTTGAACATATGCATTAAGAGTAGATATAATGACACAAACATGAAATAAAAGCAAATATTAAACTCAGGTTCATTCAACAACCTGAAAAGGGAATTTTAGCTTTCAAACCATTCAGTGCTGGATCAAGCTTACAGGTACAAAACAGAACAGAAATATAAAACTACAGAAATGGCAACTTTTACTGGGTGATCATCTTCTCTGGGTTTGAGGTATCACCAGATGGTCCCTTTTTCTGTCCCATCACAACCATTGGTGGTGGGTTTATTAAACCAGCTCTCATAAGAATGCCACGTACAGTGTCTGTAGGTTGAGCACCAACCGATAACCAATACCTGCAGAAGCAAGTAGAAGAGCAACTCAAAAGCAACAAAAACAAAATTACAGAGTACCAACTCATTTTATCAACCATGCAACTAGATGCAGCTATCCAAGAGGTTTATGTGAACTAAAAACCGATCTATCAGTTTTCTCCTTTAATTCAGATTTGATGAAAGTTGACACACACCTTTCTCATTGTGAAGATATCTCCTACTTGAAATAAATGTATAGCATGCATATTGATCTCGTATACAGTATCGTGTTTTAGTGAATTAAAAATCAATCTTAAACACTATATCTTGCTAGAATCTCCAGGATTATCTACTCAGGTTCAACTTAAACAGCGCAATCTCCTTTGATTCAGCTAAAACATAAATACTCGGATAAATTTACATAACAGCATATACAAGAAACATAAACAAAACAAAACAAAAACAAAAACAGAGTGAGAGAATATAACTAAATGGGATATTTTTTTTTATTTAAAAAAAAACTTACTTCACAAGGTCAACATTAAGACCCAATCTTCTAGCATCGCCTTTAGCTACAAAAAGGAAAAGCAGAAAGGTTTAAGAATAACTAAGTAACTTCATTAAGTTAACAATATTGAAGCCATTGCAAAAGCTAAGCTCACTAATCAAGATGTATCTTCCCCAAACAGCGAAACGAAAGATCAAGCATAATTAATGCTTTGGTGACTATAATAGACTAAATACATCTACTTTATTTGATGATATTTAAGTAATTGTATTAGTCATATGAATAATGTTGGACCAAACCTTAAAAATTAGTTTTTCCCTACTCCTGGTGATCTTTGTGCTTAAAATTTTCAGACTTCAACAGAAAACACCCTAAAGTATAAACAATCATTACTATTAATGGTTATATTAAACTACATAAACATAAAAAAATGAAATGAAATGCATCCCACTTTGCGAACAATAACCCCACAAATTGTAACTCTTTGATAACAACTTTATCTACAGAGAACCTATAATGATAGTATGGGAACCTGAAAATGAACCCAATTGAGAAAAAGTTAAGTTGAAACTGAATAAGCCTTCGAATTTCAAGTCGTTAAGAATATAAAGACATCACGTAAACTGACCATACAAAACTAAAAAGAGAAGGGTAAGAACAAATGGAGGGAACCTGCTAAGGGGTCATAGAAACCAAGAACTTGAAGGTGCTTGCCATCTCTTGGTGTATGGCTATCAGCAGCAACGATTCTGTAAAATGCCCTGTTTTTGCATCCCAGTCTAGCTAAACGAATCTTCACTGCCATTTTCTTGAGTTCCTCAAGCGAGAGAGAGCAAGACACGAAGGGAGTGTGGATATGGGTTTTTATATGGATAACGAGGATGAGATGGTTTGTGGATACGGGTTTTTCTAGTCGTTGATGATAAGGGTTTTTCTTAGTTGGGCTTCTCTACTTCTTTCTTGTCAAAACTACGCCGTTTGGAATGCATATTTTCTTTAGAAAGCTTAAAGCCATACAATTTGCCCCCACTCCTTTCAACAAACCTTCAGGAAGAAAAAAAGAGAGAAGAAGAAATTATTTGTGATAAATAACCATAAATAAACTACAATATAGTATTGATAAATTAATATTCAATAAATCAATAACCTCAATTAAATAATACTTTTATCATTCTCCACTTGAACTAATATAATAAATTAATAATTCATTGAATTAATAAGATACATATAGAAAATAAGATCTCGCTCGATGTATAAATTAATAACCTTTCTATACATTAAAACTATATAAGTACATGACTCATTTAGGAGGTTTTTTATAAAATATAGTGTTTTTATAATGTTTTATTGAACTTTATCTCTAACTTTTTTAGTACATTAATAAGAGAAAATTAAGCTATGTGATTATTGCTTGAATGTACATGGTGTGTGACACAAACACATAATTATTGTCTTCAGCTCCATCTCACTCTAGTATATAATTATAATTATTGTCTTTAGCTTTATTTTTATGTCATTTCTCATGATAATAATTTCTTTCTTGATAACTCTAATAATTTGTTGTAGAGTGGAGTTCTCTTCTTTCTTTTTTCCTTTTATTTTTGAGATCTTGTTAGCTAAAATTTAATTATAGAGGAGATTGGACGAGAAAAGTTTAACCATCAACCTTCAATTATCATGTTAACATTTAAAATAATCATGTTCTTTAGTGAAGGAGAGCGTCCCTCTCGCATCAGGTAGCCCCAAGGAAAGATCAAAAAACAAATCAATTAAAGAATGATTCTTTTGCCTTCTGTAGTAGTGTCCCACTTGCTCCAGCCAGTAACAGATAGAGATACCTGAGGACTGAGAGATATAAGAAACCGAGTGACGCAACATCTACAATCACATCCTGGGAAACAGTACAACTCTTTCGTAACCAAATATGTGGTTTGTAATACAAGTACATGATTCTGTTCGCAACTATAAACATTTTACATAAAGCTCTTAGGCTCTCTAGCATGTTAATTCAGAACAATGAGTTGTTTCATTGCTTGCTGCCTCATCACAGTATAAGCAAATTGTGGGAAAAAATCTACTAGAATTTTCAGTGGTTGGTGAGTTGTTTCATTGCTTGCTGCCTCATCACAGTATAAAAAATCTACTAGAATTTTCAGTGGTTGGCAATCGAATTTACCAATTGACCGGGGACTCTATCCTTGCCAAAAATCCAAAACTTCTGAGGTTGAACTTTTGTACAAGAAATATTCTAGATGTGAATGTACATTCTCCCATTGCACATATGTACCTCTGCAGTACTTTTTTCTTCTTCTTTTGCCAGACTCAGCAGAAACTGCAGAACACTTGCTGTTGCTATTTTCGTAGGTGCCCATCGGATTTTTTTCAAAGAACATATCCTGTTATGGTGTGTGAAGACAAAAATGTCTCATTCCCATTCCTTCTCTGCAATAACCACAAAAACGTCTTTTAGTGACCACCTCCTTCTCTCACTTTTGGCGGGTGGATTGATAACAGCTCTTTCAGCATTAGATACACGGTATCCAATGACAATCTCTCTTCTCTGTCTGGCTCGTAAGAGTACTTCATAGAAACTCAATTCCTCGCCTTCAAAAAGGTAAAGATCTGCTTGCCTTATTTGTAGCTCATTTCCCTGATGAACACAAAATGTTTCATGAATGATGAGTAAAAATGATCAGAGGATCACAAATTTCAACATCATCAATAGCAACAAGTTTATCAGCACAACCAGGATGATGCTGATCGGTTGTGGTGGATTGCCTCAGGCTCTAAGCAATAAAGATAGGGTTCACTAGCAAAACCTTTGCCGTTGTGGCACAACATATTAAGTAGTTAAAGTATGATTCAAAGGAGTGACCAACTGAATGCACTAGGGAAAGAAGCTGATGGCCACCCAATGTGTTTAATTATAAAAAATGAATCTTTAGTTTAGCTGTCTTAAGCCGATTAAAGCCACAGAATGCATTAAGAAAATCCGACAGAATGATGCAAGCTGATTCAGATCCTTATCGAATTATGGAGAGCATGACAGAGGAAAAGCTTTCTAGAACTAGCATACAGTACACAGGGAGCAAGCTGCTACTTGCGAGGGAAAAAAGGGTTGAATATTGCTAAAAGGTGTTTCAATTTCTCCCCACTTGCAAGAGTTGGCCAGAAAACTATAATAATCCTGTAAAAACTGTCAAGTTATACATCTGTCAAACCATCTCCTACAAAGAATTTCCCAAATTTTCATTGAATTGAGCAAGATTGCAGGATCTCAATTATTATGTTTTTTTTTTTTAACCTTGAGTGCATTTGAATTAAACAAATAGATCATGCACCTGTTGGGATTTTCTATTGCAATTTTGTTAAGTCATTTTGCCCTTCAAAATTTGGGTTTGCCATAGAATGAAATCAAATCTCAGAATTTAACAGGAGAAACAAAAGAATACCTCCTCTGCGAAGAGCTCTTTTAATACATCATTTATTTGTTGATCCTCTGCGACCATGGCCAGCGCCATGCTGACAAGCTCATTTGATAGAACATAATCGCTGATCTTTGACATGGACAGTAAATTTTTAGTTCTTGGGTCCAGAATTTCACTTATTATTACTGATTTATCTGAAGCCTGCTGCATCTCCCCAATCCACGTGCCTTGTGAGAAGCTCCCTCCATGAACCTGGTTTGACATTGGGAGACGCTTCGACTGCATGGATCATGAGAATAAGAACGAATGATTACAAAGATCAAAGAGCGCTAAATCTCACAAGTGACCTCCAATGTCAGCATATTAGTCAACACCAGGATTCTGTACAACTATCTTCTCTTGGGTTCTGGAGAGAAGAAACAAATTTTTTTCTGGCTTTTCCTTGATTTGATGAAGAGCTGACCACATACTCTTCAGAAATGAAGGCAAAAACCCCTCTGTTCATAAGATCACAGGGCATCTTGGAGGATGGAATGCAACAATAATTGTTCAAAAAGGGATGAAAGGTGACAAGCCCATGTTGAATGGAAAAGACTCTAGCCACCCTACCCCCTCCCAAATCATTGACTCAGTTTCACAATTTTTAAATTGCAGTTTCTGTGTGGCAGAAACCAACTGCCATAGATGATACATATATGTGTCATAGCCTATCCACCAGAACTTTAGTTAGATCAAGTACCTGAATATCACGAATCAATAGTAATGTGGCAAGAGATCTGGAGTCTGCTTGCATGGCTGAATCTTCAACTGACTCGTCAGCCAAAATTAAAATCTAAACAAACCAAATACTTCATCAAAATCTTTTTAACAAAGAATTACAATACTTCAAAAAATATAATCCGGTCATCATATAATTACATCCAAAACCCAATGATATTAAGTATTATTCTACTTACTGAATCAAAAGATTGCAAAGGAAGGCTTTCTAAATGACGTCTTATGACTGTATTTCCCTCTCGATTAACCAATTGTATATTTTCCAACCTACTCAAGTCTAGGCCGCCATCAATAAGCTTCTTTTCCCTCTCTTTTTCAGGAACATCATTGAACATCCAGAGCTCCGAACCTTGTGCTAAAAATGCATCCAACACCTAAACTTGCAATGATGAGCACACCTAACATTAATATTGTTTCTAGAAAATGAAAAAGTTTAAGAGAGAGAAAAGAGCACTCCAAATTGTAGCAAAAATATTAAATGTAGAAAGAATAGTTCCAGTGAAGAAACATTTGTTGCAACTACAACTGAATTCAGTAATGACAGAAGTATTCTGAAATGTCTACCACCACTTTGCCGCAACGGAGAAGTTATGATTTCATAATCCTTATAACATTACCATAATCATATCTTCCATGTCACGTCTCCAACCACAGAATAATATCTTTTCTGCAGACTTTGGACCAATAAAGTCTTTGGGTAGACTTCCTCTCCATACCTGCAGCATCCAGGCGAAGAAAAGAAAAGATTAGGGGCTTCACAAAAGAGCTTACCACAATCATATCATCAATGTCCCTCCTCCATCCACAGAGTAGAATCTTCTGTGGCATTCTTGCAGGTTGGGCAATGTGCATGAATGATGCTTCTTTGACCTGATGATGAAATTGATTGTATTATGTAAGTTTTTTTATTATGGTCTACCCACTTACCTAATTTCCACCGAAGGAACCATTCTAGCGTGCACATCTGAACTGGTTCTTTATATAGAACAACCAACCTGACCATGATCTGCTGTTTTAGTTTTCATTTTGTTTCCTTTTCAATTTTACTGATTTCTTTACATCATATCAAAAGCACACAAGATATCCTTCACTAAATTACACCGATCTGTTATTTAGTGAAAAGAACCATCCTCAAAGGGTCCATGGTAGACACGTCAGATGCAAAGCGATAGCATCCCAACCACACTGCAACATGTACAACACTAAAGAGTTCATGCATATATGTGCAACAACATAATTACCTAAAGGCCAACAAAATGCTAAAACTAACTAAAGTGAATCTATTTATTTATGGGTATGCTCAGGTATCTATAGGTAGGACTGACCTCATTTTCCTCTATGCAGATATCTGCTGCATTTACTATGGCCTTTTCTTTCCCTTTTCATTTTGTAATTCTATATTTGATATAAAAACATCCTGGCTCAGGCAAGCTAAGACGACTTTCTTTCGCTAACTGGGTAAGGCACAAGTCCCGTCTCTTATCATGCAAATACCACATAGGGTGACAGAACAGAGACAGGGAAGCTTGGGTAAAGAATGCGAGAAATCTATAAGAAATCTTTATTTCTGAGTGAAAAGGAAAGCACCGTAGGTAATGCTGCTGGAGCATAGCTATCGTCATCTTCTGCTATGACAAGGACTTCATCACCTTCTTGTAGAACATATGAGTCTTCAGGATTCAGGATAATTTTACCCCCAAAGGAAGCAACCTTGATCCCACAAGGTATAGCATCAGGGAAACTGATTAGTATGTCCTCAAATTGCATGCCGTGCAACTGTGGCCATCTTTTGATATAAAACTCACAATTTTCAAACCCAAGTATGTCTTCCCAGATCTGTCATAAGCCATCCATATTTATCACATGCAAAAAACAAGCAGGGAAGTAGTTTACAGCATAATAATGGAAGTAAAAATCAATGTGAAAAAATCAGTAAGGTAAATAATGCTCACACTGATGTCAAAGAATGTGACTAGAGTATTAAGGGTGCAGCAATTAACCTGTGCAAGTCCTGGCTGCCGAGCACATTGAATCATCAAGCGGCCAATAACATCATGAGCTACAACAGTTTTGACAAGATCTCCACCAACAAGTTTCACAAGAACCTCATTGTCAAGATCACTTAGCTCCACGACAATGTGCCCTTTCAGCCCTTCTCTCACTCCTATAAGACTTAAGACGGTTCTCAATGCACGAGCATCACTCTGTAAAAAACCATAAACGAGATAACGGTTATCAATGCTTATCGAATATCAGATATGAAGCACGTCACTTCTTCACTCAAGTAGCAGACCTGGTCAGCATTTCCATCTTCAGCAAGGACAATTATTGCACGGGCCTTGGAGACAGATACCTGAAAACTTAAGGCATTACTAAACCAAGAAAAGTGACAGAGAAAATAATGGTTTCACCATTCATGACAAAGTAGATACTCCCATCATCGGGTTTAGAAGAAGAAGAAGAAGAAGAAGAGAGAGGAAGTTCAATGTGGACTTGAAGAGTAAATAATATTTACTGAAGAAACCATGACAAGAAATGTATGTGCAATCTTTAAGAATACAATGCAATATTGTGCAATAAGCTTGCTTTAAGAAACAGTTAATCGTATAATTCTTGGGAACTGGCATGCTTTAGCAAAATTAGGTATGTGCCCTGAAACTAAATTAGACAAACATAAATTTTTGATAGGATAACTAATCAGGCCATTTAGCATTAATGAATCACTTATTGATTGTACGACTGAAGAAGATTGAATCTGTCCAGCAACCACAGCTTTCAGCAGAGAAGATATATGCTACAACTTGTAAGCAATATCATAGAATGTACACATACCTTTTTCAGGTCAGCCAGAATTAAAGGGCTCCCGCTTCTGCATATGACAAATGTTCCTTTGAAGTCGAACTCCATTTTAGCAATATCCATTTCCATCTCTTCTTTGTCTCGTTCAGCCATCACCACCACAATTCCTCCCCCCAAACTCTCATTGGCTATAGCAAGCTGATTCAGCAGTGATCCCTGGTTTCAGAACAAAAAGTTTGGTGACTGAGGAAAAATTTGCAAAATATTCTGCAAACACCTAAATATATTTATTTTGTGTTATCCATGTGCTTTTATGAATTTCTTCAGAGACTTTTATATTAGGAAGGAAATAATTGTTGCCAGTTTATTTAAAGGTCTTTGAGATGAGCTGTCTACACTATTCACAACTAAAACATTGCCAGCAAATGTATAGAGCAAACAAGCTTCACACTAACATGATGTGGAATCAGAATCTTACTAATTTATCACTCCACCCAAGAATTAGAGTATGGTTTTGCTCAACCACTTTGCTTTTTCCTTTCCTTAATGAATCGAACTTCTCAGAAATAGCGTCAGACACGAGCCCAAGCATCATAGCAAAAATAAGCATCCCACCAAAGCTAATAGAAACAGAAACAAGCCTTGGACCAATCCCCTCGGTATTAGCATGATTGCCTGAATCCGCTACAAACGTCCAAGACAACCAAAGACAATCCGCTAAACTATCATTTGTCACACCAAACATTGCCAAGCCACCAAGACAAATAACCAGCAGTGTCGCAACTAACAACGCCAAAGGCTTCGCATATGGACGAACCGATAAGAAAACATCCACCCGATATGCAAGCTGCTTATTCAATAGCACCGCTTCCCAGATATTACCCGACGATCTCGATGTTGATACAAAATCAATGTACTTGAAAGCAAGAACTGGAATAGACAATAGCGTAAGTGAAACAATCAAAGCCAAATTCTTTAACCCATTATCACCACCATAATCGTAATCATCAATCTCCTGCATTACTGAATCAGAAGCATCTACATTGGATAATGAATTACATGCTCGCAATGTAACATTTAGTTTCAATATTTGATCCTGCAATAAAAAATACAAATAATCCCAGTTAAATAACAACAAAACCCTGCATTAAGGTCAAAGTCACTAACAAGGACTCCAAATAATCAATATAACCGTAGAAGACTTAAAAGCACTAATCTTGATAATGAAAATCAAAACTTAAAGAGAACGACTCACCTGCAAATCAATTACTTGGTTATGTAAGGTAAAATTCTTGTATACCGACGAAGCCAAAGCAGTAATAACAATCTGCAACATCCCGAAAGAAAGCCACTTCAAAAAACATTTCTTTATTACTTTCCCAAAACCAAACCAACAAAAAGGGTACTGTACAGACACTTACAGCTACTGTGATGGTCAAATTCCATCCGAATCTGACCCGATGAACCGATGGCCCGGAAGAAACCTTCTCAGTAGACTGCTTCTTCTCACTGGGAACAACAGGTTTCCGGTCCAAAAAGGAATCATGTTGTTCTTGTTTTGAAGGTTTGACCAGTGGTCGAGGGAATTCCACGCGCCGGCGAAGTATGCCGTATTTAGAAGTGGCTGCGGGGGGGGTAGAGGAGGATGGTCGAAAAGACTGCGATTTAGAGAGTTTGGGACCAGGAGAATGCTTGGGAGTCGTGGAGAATCTGCGGTGGGATTTTGGAGGTGACTGGTGGATGAAGGAAGGTGAAGGGAAGAACCAGTCCCTGTCGAAGGAAGGAGACGGTGAGTCTTCGGAGTCAAGGGACATAGTGGGTTTCTTTATTGAAATGTTTTCTTTTTCTGTGTTTGATTAATGATTTGAACCATTCTTTCAGCAGGTCTTCTCTTTTTTTCTTTCTTTCTAGTAATAGTTAACGAGGTTGTGTTGGAGTGATTAGCCTTGTACTCGGAAGGGATTAGAATAATCAATGCGTGGAAATTTGTCCTTTGAAAGTTGTCTGTAAAGTGAGCGGAAGAATTGGACTTTGATTATTCTTCGAATATTTTCCCCATTACAGTATGATTACCTTTGCTTCACGTCATCATCATTATCTTATGGCAACTTAATTAGAGCTAACTGGATATGGTTAGAATGAACCAGATAGATGATTGTTATGTTTTATATTTAGTGTTTATTAGACTGGACAGATAATTAGTTTTATTTTGTATTTAATAGACAATGAATAAAATAATAACATTCTTACCTCATCTAATGTCTTGTCTGATGTTTAAAGGGTATATTCTAACATTTACTTTAATTTAAAATTTTATTTTTATCTATTTTTATTTTAATGAATATATATATATATATATTATTAGTATTTATTTAAATATTATTTTATTTTGAATAAAATCTAATTTTTTTATATTAATTAATCTAATTTTTTATATTAATTAACACTTATTTTGATAGCTAATTAACTAATCAAAATTGTGGAAATTAAATTCCCACAATTTTATGTTATATTTTTATGTTAATATTATTTATTTTTTCTTCCTCTCTCTCGACTTATAGCATGTCCAAGCTTTTGTAAACGGGAAACCACTTGATTGATAGCCCGCACGATAAGGAAAGAATTTTTATGGGAAAAATAAAGTTTAAAAGATGGTTGTATTTTAAATAATAATAATAATAATGATGATGATGATGTTAAATTTTGATTAATTTAATAATATAATAAAAAATTAAGACAACAACAACAAATAATTTTTTAAAAAAAATATAGTCATAAATAAAATTAAGCTAACATGTAAAATTAATTATAAAAAAAAACATTAAAATAATTTTATAGAAAAATGATACCATTTAAAATTAATTATAACAAAAACCTTAAAATCTAGCTTATTAGCTTATATCATGCCGTGGGATGGAGTAAATATTCCTTTTAAGCTTAAAAAAAATCTAGGTATTGTTAACATGTTTTTTTAAAAAAAAATATTTAAAATATAAATTTAAAATCAAATGTGAAAATGAATGATATTTTTATTCAATATTGAGACAAAAATATATTGAATCTATTTCGATTAACCTAAGTTGATATGCAAAACATGCAGAGATAGTTTTGAAAAAAAAAAACTAAGAAGCTAGATCTCCAATTAACTCAATGTTTAAAAATAAAATTGGTAAAAAAACGACACTCAATTAAAGAAAACACGAAGCGAATTTGGATGAACTAACCAAACTTACGAAACAAGTTATGCACTTTATTGAATTCAATAGTTTTTTATTTCATAGATTATTTCTCATTTAATAGATTTATATAAAAATAAAGTGTTCATCCATTTTTTTTGCATTAAACATTTTTTTAAAAGGAAAAAAAACCATGTGAGACACATGAGACTAAGATAGCAAAGATATATAATTGATAACAAATGATGGAATTGTATTTTTATGTAGTTTTGAGTTGAATAAAAAAAATCAATTGCTAAAAAATGGAGAAATTGCATTTTTTTTAAATTAAGGGAAAAAAAGCATAAAAAAAGAAAAAAATAGTTCTGGTGATGTGGTTTAATCCATCAAAGTCGTGATTCATGTTATAAACTTAATTGAGTTCAATATTTTTTTTTATAAATTTATATTTAACCTAAATATTTAAAAAAACTAAAAATGAGGACAACAACGCGTCTCAAAAGTCCAACGTTGTGGGCATTTGAAAGGAAAAGCATATGCACTTAGGCTTTTAAATTCAAGTTCGTATGTATTGGCTTGCTATATATAAAAGGGTAAACAATCTATTGTTTGAAAAAAAACAGACAACGTGTCATATTATAACCCGAATTCCAACCACCGTTGTAATGCCCAGAAAATCTGGGCTATGATTTTTTTACTTAAAAAAACCATTTTCAACCCATTTCAACTAGAAAATACATTACAAATGCCTTTAGAACACCAAGAAATCAACCTATCAACCTAACAAACCCAAAAAACATTCCAAACTGTAAAATCAAACCAAAGAAAATATTTCATCCTCGACTTAGATATGATTTTTTAGGCTATATCTAGACTTAAGACAATCATTATAAGACTCATTACTTGGTGGAACTCGTTAACACCAATTTTAACAATTTTAGTTGTCAAAAAAAGAGTCAACGATGAACTCTTTTTTTTTTACATTAGAATCTCGCGAGCTCTTTCTCTCATAAAAAAAAACTAAAAAATAATAAAAATAAATTTTGGTATCATATTTAATTTCATTAAACCTAGAGGACCAATTACATATTAAGTTAAAAAGATGGGGAACTAAACTAAATTTTATGGATGAAATTAAAATTCGCCATCTATTTTTATTGTGTTTCTTACTTTGATTTTTTATTTTTCAATTTCACCCTTTATTCAAAAAAAAAATTGACTGGCTATTAATTTGGGTTTAAAAAAGTTCAATTATACAAAGATATCAAATTGAAGATTTTTTCTAAAAAAACCTATTCTAAAGATAGTGAATAGTAAAATTACCATCCTTTTAATTTCCTTTGATAATTAATAATTAATAGTCACAAGATGAAATAATTATGAGCTGAGAATCCTAAGCATCCTTATTTCAAAACCATGTCCAAATTCTTATTTTCTCTACAATAACCAAAACCACTTTTTTCATTTCTTCTTAACTTAGCTTAACCAAAATGAGAGTGAAAAGGGACAATAATAATTGTCTTTGATTGCATCCACTACATAATTGACTTTTTTTTTTAGAAATAACAACAACACAATTAGTTTCTTTGACTCTCATAAAAAACCCACCTCGAATGAGAGATATAGAGAGAAATTTGATAAATTAGTTCTTAAAAGAACAAAAAAAAAACTGTAAATTTTAGAGGAATAAGAAAACGAAGTAAAAGAGTAAGGAAGTAAAGATTTGCTTGAGGTAACACTAAAAAGGCTTAGTAAAGACATCAGAAGTCACTTTTTGGTCAAGATTATTAGTGCTTTAAATACTAGGAAGTTTGTCTTGATTAATTATAGATGTTTATCCCTCTACTGTTTCATATTTTCTTCCTTTAACTCGGCTTCTCTCTCCATCATGGGCTTAGAGGAACTATCAGAGAGTTTTTGGTCAATACGTTAATGATAGATAAAAAAAAGACTCGATTCCCCTAAAAATGAATCTAAAAGATTCTATAAAATATATCCAATAAGAACACCCCTTAAACTTGGGCTTGATATCTCAAACCTAATGTATAATAAGGGGGGCTCGAGGAGAGTGGGTTTTGGTTTGGTAGCCTGAGCCTAACTCCCTAGAGGACATAGGCTCAGGCAAGAAGCTCAGGCATATGCAAGGCGCACATCTAGCGTGGGTGTGCATCTCAACACCCCTATGAGTTTGGGTTCGAGAGTGCATCTAGAGTCCAACATTCTTGGGTCAAAACAGTGCATCTAGATCCATTTTTCACCTTTAATAGGCTCGAACCTAACACACATCAGAGAATTTTTCTTGGATCCCACACAGGTCTTTTAATATTTTATATTGATCAAATACCTTTTATTTTGAGTGGAATACAACTCAAAATATCATAATGATAAAAAAAAAAAAAATTGATTGGCTATTAATTTGGGTTTAAAAAGGTTCAATTATACAAAGATATCAAATTGAAGATTTTTTCTAAAAAAACCTATTCTAAAGATAGTGAATAGTAGAATTGCCATCCTTTTAATTTCCTTTGATAATTAATAATTAATAATCACAAGATGAAATAATTATGAGCTGAGAATCCTAAGCATCCTTATTTCAAAACCATGTCCAAATTCTTATTTTCTCTACAATAACCAAAACCACTTTTTTCATTTCTTCTTAACTTAGCTTAACCAAAATGAGAGTGAAAAGGGACAATAATGATTGTCTTTGATTGCATCCACTACATAATTGACTTTTTTTTTTTAGAAATAACAACAGCACAATTAGTTTCTTTGACTCACATAAAAAACCCACCTGGAATGAGAGATATAGAGAGAAATTTGATAAATTAGTTCTTAAAAGAACAAAAAAAAATTGTAAATTTTAGAGGAACAAGAAAACGAAGTAAAAGAGTAAGGAAGTAAAGATTTGCTTGAGGTAGCACTAAAGAGGCTCAGTAAAGACATCGGAAGTCACTTTTTGGTCAAGATTATTAATGCTTTAAATACTGGGAAGTTTGTCTTGATTAATTCTAGATGTTTATCCCTCTACTGGTTCATATTTTCTTCCTTTAACTCGGCTTCTCTCTCCATCATGGGCTTAGAGGAACTATCAGAGAGTTTTTGGTCAATACGTTAATGATAGATAAAAAAAAGACTCGATTCCCCTAAAAATGAATCTAAAAGATTCTATAAAATATATCCAATAAGAACACCCCTTAAACTTGGGCTTGATATCTCAAACCTAATGTATAATAAGGGGGGCTCGAGGAGAGTGGGTTTTGGTTTGGTAGCCTGAGCCTAACTCCCTAGAGGACATAGGCTCAGGCAAGAAGCTCAGGCATATGCAAGGCGCACATCTAGCGTGGGTGTGCATCTCAACACCCCTATGAGTTTGGGTTCGAGAGTGCATCTAGAGTCCAACATTCTTGGGTCAAAACAGTGCATCTAGATCCATTTTTCACCTTTAATAGGCTCGAACCTAACACTCATCAGAGAATTTTTCTTAGATCTTATGCAGGTCTCTTAATATTTTATATTGATCAAATACTTTTTATTTTAAGTGGAATACAACTCAAAATATCATAATGATAAAATTACATTTCGGTCCCTCCTCTAAAAAAAAGGACAAGATTCATGAGTTTATAAATATACCATGAATCTTTCAAGTCAAATGTTCACAATCTCTTCATTATCTACTGAACATATATTTTTAAAGCATATCTTTCTAGAATATTATTTATTTTCTCTTTCTGTAAATTTACTTACTTTACCATCAGAGAGTCTCCATGTCCATAAAAGAAAATCTTTTGTGGGTATCAACTACTGGTCACCTGATTTAATAAACATCAATTGCTATTATTAGAGCTACCAATCACCTAATTTACCAAGCGTCACTTGTTATTACCACAACTACCGACCGCCTAGCTTGTCAAACATAAAATTTTATAAGTTACCAACCCTTTAGGCTTTTTATATAAAATACCTTGATTATGAAAAATAAATCAAATTGTTTTAACTAATAAATTAACTAATTATTCATCAAATTAGCTTTATTCTTAAGTATTTTGGCATTTTAAAACTCGTTGGTTAGTGGTTTTTAGTGAGAGGTTTGTGGTTGTGAAAAGATTTTTTTTTTGGTTTGGGTTAAATGGAGGTTTTTTGTTGAATTGGTTATTGATGAGAAAGAATGATGTTGAAGGAGAAATAATTAAAGGTGGCTCGGGGTGGCTGAGCTTGGTGGTGCTAATGGCTGTTAGAGGAGGCAATGAAGGTGAGGAAAGATCATTAAGAGATTCATGATGATAAAAATATATGTTATATGAAGGACATAATAATTATTATATCATAATAACCATTATATGGATAATTAAATATAATAAAAATGATAACAACAACAATATACCATCATCATATTATTGATTCTGCATCCAAATTATTTTTTAAATTAATTTTACTACTAAATTATTTAATTTATCAAATTATTATAATTTTTTTGAATTCTTTCCAAGCATGCATTGATGAAAACATACACGTCACTCACTCCGTTATTCCTTTCTTGGACTCGCGTCTTATTTGTGGCCCAAATCCAGAGGCTTGGGTTGGGCCAAGCAGCTTAGAAAAACCAGGCTTTCGATTAAACAAATAGAAGAGGAGATCCACGTATCGTTTCATTCATTCCAGCAGAACATCCTTCAAATTCATTCCAGGCGGCCAGGGTGTAAGCAGAGAGGAGACTCTCACCATCATAACATTGCATCATCAGGTGCTTTCTCTCTTAAGACCTCTCTATTTCAGCTAAACCTAGAAAAAAAAACCCTAGACATTAACTAATTTTTTGCTATGTTTCGAATCAAATCACATTCTTTGATTACCATTGAAATTGACTTTATGGGATTTGAGCTAACTTAATTTTAGTCCTCTTTTAGTTCAAGAAAACCCAAAAATATTAACCCTAGAAATATTGCATGCATTTTTATTGTCATTTTACTGGTGTTTTTCTCTTATAATTTCTTATAGTTATTTAGTTGTTGAATATGAGAACATGTAGTCTGGAAGTAATGTTCGTTTCCTTTAAGCATTGCTTGTAGTGTTGTTGAAGAAAATAGAGAAATATGGAAAGGTGATGGATTGATTATGTTTCAAGAAAATGTTGCTATTATTTTTTATCCCAAAATCTCCTTAGAGCTGTTGTTCTTGCTGGTCAATGGTGCTAAGCAGTGAGCTTCCACTGTTTTGCTGCTTTTCGCATGCTTTGTTTTAGAAATAAATTCATGTTTCTGTAGAATAGCACTGATTTAGTTTGCTGCTGGAGTCTCTATTTGGGTATTCGAGTTGATCCGTAGTGTGCATCTCCTTATTTTTACTTCTTGTGTGATTCATTTTCATTTTGCAATTTTGCTTTTTTGATTCTCAACTCTAATGCGCCACAAATTACATGTTACATGTCTCTGAGGCAACATGTGACTTTGTCACTAGTTGAATTTCATTTGATACAACCGCTATGTCTTTCATTGCACTCATGGGATTTTTTCAACTTCTGAAATTTACACAACTCCTTGGTCTTTTGCCCCACATATTTTGCAGTTGCAACAAGATATTCAAAAACAGCATGCCAAAAGAAATATGGAAGAGTCTAGTCATTGTCTTTCAACGGGTTAAATATGGTTTCTATCAGTTGTTATTAATGTATAGCACTGGTCTTCTCTTTTCTCATGGTTGATGAGATGGTGATTCTTGCTGTTCACTGGCAAGCTAGGAGTTTTGGTTGTGTTGCTTTGAGCACCATCTGCTTCAACATTTAAGATTTGGACAGTTGTATATTGGAAATATTTATGCTACCATGTCCTTGCTGAAACTTAGTACAGTACAATGCTTTGTATTTGGGTGTTAGAAGGGGTTTTTAGTTTGGATCATGTTATCATTGTGTGAGATTCATACCCATTTTGCAATTTCAATCTTGGTTCTTAGCTCCATTTCATTAGGTCTGGATGTAATATGCCTCAAGGCAATTTTGGTTCTTAGCTCCATTTCATTAGGTCGGGATGTAATATGCTTCGAGGCTCTAGCCTCCCCCTGGGAGTCTTATATATTTTTTCACCGCCTTGATTCTTTATCATATGCTGATATATTTGCCTGTAGTTCTACTTCAGTAGGAGATTGGTTAGCTTGTGTTTGATGTGGCACGCTTTTTGCTGTACTTTCTTAGCTTTTATGACTATTTTTGAAAGAAGAAGGAAACGAGGATTTTTCAAGTTCTGAAATATTCATAAATCTTAGCTAACAGTGCCATAAATCTAGTCCTTGGGCCTGCCTGGTTTGTGATTTCGATTAGAAGTTTCTCCTATTCCACATTGCTTATTTTCTTTAGCATGGATAATAACTTAATTTTGTGTTCCAACTCAGGATTTTAGTCCTTTGAGACAACAGAAGTCAAGATGCAAGTTGTTCCTAGAGAGGGAGAAAGTGCTTTGTCCGTCTCTGGTCCAAGGCCAATGGAGTGGTCTACTGTTCTATATGCAGGGCCACATGGACCTGTAAAAAATGGAAAACAGCATAAATCTAGTTTGGACCTATTATGTTACTCACTGGTCACGAGAGTGCTGTATATACTATGAAGCTCAATCCAGCTGGAAATGTCATTGCATCAGGATCTCATGACAAGGAAATTTTTCTATGGTACGTTCATGGGGAATGCAAAAACTTCATGTTATGAGAGGGCACAAAAACGCAGTTTTGGATCTTCACTGGATTATTGATGGGTCCCAGATAATATCAGCCAGTCCTGACAAAACTGTCAGGGTGGGATGTCGAGACTGGAAAACAGATAAAGAGAATGGCACAACACTCCTCTTTTGTGAATTCATGCTGCCATTCCCACAGGCCTTCACTTGTTTTAAGTGGATCTGATGATGGAACTGCAAAACTTTGTGAAATGCTCCAGAAGGGTGCCATCCAAACATTTCCAAATAAATACCAAATCACTGCTGTCAGTTTCTCTGATGCATCGGATAAGATATTCACAGGTGGTATAGATAATGATGTTAAGGTATGGGACATCCGCAAGGGTGAAGTGACCATGACACTTGAGAGCCATCAAGATATGATTACGGGTATGCGCCCCTATGCATATCTGCTTCCGATTGGCATGTAGAACAAGCTCTGCATTTGGGATTTGTGCCCCTATGCACCACAACATATTTGTGTGAAGATTTTTGAAGGGCACCAGCACAACTTTGAAAAGAACTTGTTAAAATATAGCTGTTCACCAGATGGAAGCAAGGTTAAAATATATGTGAATGCTTGTTAGATACGAAATCAAGTTACTGAACTTGTACTCATTGATTTTGAAGCAAGTTTCCGACCATGTTCATTGTCCTAGCATGGTGATATGGGGACGTCAAATTTTCATGTATTTGTCTTGTTTTCAACTATTTTTGTGTTGATTTTCAATGTCTTTTTGAAAAATAAAAAACCCAAAAATATGTTTTCAGTGTCTGGTTAGCTAAATCTGTTGTACAACCAAGCCTCCTGTCTTGCTTTGTGAAAAAGAAAGATGGGAGTTGGGGGTTTTGTGTAGATTATACAAAACTTACGAGATAACTGATATACAAGGAAAAACACCCTCATATTATTGAATCTGTGACTTCTATAGTTCATTTCTTAGGAAGAATTAGATGACTACCTTTAGGACCAGATATTTCTGTGTTCAATGAGTCGCAACAATTGATTTGTTGGCTGGAGTATGAACATGATAATGACACTATAGAAAGACGACAATTATGTTTCAAGCTATGGTAAGGAATGTTACCTGCTTGAAGGTGAATTAATCATGACGCTTGAAGACCAAGATATGATAACAGGCATGCAGCTAGTCCAGATGGCTCTTGTCTGCTTAATGGATAGACAACAAGCTTTGTACTTGGGATATGAGCTTCAACATTGTTGTGTGAAGGGTAAGCTTCAACATTGTTGTGTGAAGGGTAACCCGCACAGCTCTGAAAATAACCAACTAAATTGTAAAATTCTCCGGGAATATTTTTTGTAAAATTATCAGCATTGCTATTTTTTTTCCAATTTCATTTAAATATTGCTATTGGGTTAGTAGTCAGCGCAATAAACTTAACTGGCATTAACTTCAAATCGTATCACAACGTTAAAAGTAGCCGTTGCAACTAGTCAGCCCACTAGCATTACTAGTGACCAATCAGATCATAAAAGGAAAACTAGCCGTTGGCAAACCCTCTTTCAACGGTCATCTCCCTGCTGCATGATATATATGCCTAGATATCCCAATATCCCCTTCAACAAATTATCTCAATCTTCAAATTCCAGTCCCCCAGTTACAACAGATCATCAAAAATCTCAAATGGGTCTCATAAACAATCACAAATCTTGCCCAGTGACTGAATCCCACCACTCCCTCCACAAATTCTTCGTTATATGCAACTACATTCTCTTATGTGCAGCGTCTAGTTGTATATTCCTCACTCTTTCTCTCCGCCTATTCCCTTCCCTCTGCGGCTTCTTTGTCATTCTCCTCCACGTGGTCACCATCATTGCAGCTGTATCGGGCTGCTCTGCGTCCTTATCTGGGTCCAACAAATGGTATGCAGCTCACATGGTCAGCACTTCTCTAACAGCAATATTTCAAGGATCAGTTTCTGTCCTTATCTTTACTCAAACCGGTGATTTCTTGGGCTACTTGAAGTCTTATGTAAGAGAAGAAGATGGTGCTGTAATCTTGAAGCTGGCTGGTGGGCTTGCTTTGTTGATTTTTTGCCTTGAGTGGGTGGTTTTGGTTCTTGCTTTCTTGTTGAGGTACTATGCTTTTGTCGAAGGAAATGGGAATAGTGCTGGCGATGGTTCTTTTGATAGAATTGGGAAGGTTTGAGAAGGAAGGTTGTGAAAAACTGGCCTTTGGCCCTTGCGATTTTAGAGAAGTTCTAGTAATTATGTGGATTTGATTTGTACTGTACCAATCCTATTCTTTGTAGTTTTGGTTGTGTCATTCATGTTTGTAACAATCCTATTCTTTATTTGTTAAGAGAAAATTTTCCTATTCATTTCTTTGGTAATTACTAATTTGCTATTTTTTCATCAAAATTGTTCTAAGCCAAATTACTATATCATAAACATGAACCAAAAAGATTTGCCCACTAATTTAGAGGATCCTCTCTTGGCTTAGTTGGTCGATTATGGGGGCTTGATTGTGGAGCATTTTGCTCATTCTTATTTCTTTTTGCATCCATTATGCATATAAAACTCACAATTTTTTCTACCCAATATTTTCGAGTTAAGTTTCAAGGTAGCAAAGTTAGGTTTTTTCACACCTTCATGAAATTTGAGACCACTTGCCATTTTAGTCGAAACTAGAAGTGGAATCGCGATATGATTTTTGGAGTTGATTTTTTTCTTCATAAATATAATATTTAGGTAGAAGGGAAAAAAATGTAATTAGGGTTATAGATTTTATTAAATAAATTGATTTTATTTTAATTAGATAATAAAAATAATAATAAATTGATAAAATAAAAAAAATGATTTTATTAACTTGGGAAAAATACCTTTTTTCAAATGAGAAAAAATAATGTAGCTAAAGGCTCGTTTGTTTGATATAAAGTAGTTTTTTTTAAGTGAATTTCGAAAAAGTGAATTATTTTCTGACGTTTAGTAGAGTAATGAAAAATAAATTGGAAAACACTTTCTAGTATTTGGTTACGTCATGAAAAATAAGCTAAAAAATAACTCATTAATGTTTTATTTTTCTCAAGTTTATTGAAATAATGAGTAACAAATTTTACAAATCATAAAGTTGAATGAGAATGATATTGAAAAAAAAATAATTTTATAAATTATCTCAAATAAAATAAATAATAATACTTAACCAATTTTTTTTTATTAGAAAGTATCTTCTATTGACCAACTTTTCCAATGACAAACAAACACAGGAAAGTTTGGAAAGTAATTTCACGGAAACCACTTTCCAAAAAATAAACACAGCCTAAGATAAAATCAATCACAAATCAATTCAAGTTAACATAATAAATTTGTAAAATGTGTAATAAGAGCCAAGCCAACTTGAGCCAACCCATCAGACATGTGGTCAAGGTAATGAAATAAAGATAACTCAATAGAAGAAAAAACCAGAAAACCCACTTAAAAAGAACTAATATCAAATGATTAAATAAAAAAATAAGTAAAAAAAAATTAACGTCATCTTGCATTAACTTTTTAAATTTATGACCTAAGTCATTAGACTGTAAGTATTATATATGAAAAAAACTACAAAACTTAATTTTCAATCAATTAGATATTGAAAGATAAAATTAAAAAAAAAAATTATACAAAATGATCTAAAACCAAAAATAGCAATTAAAAAAATAAAAATTAAATCTAAAATAAAAAATAAATTAGAGGATACCAATAGAATTTTGATCAAAAGATTAAATTGAAAAGAAAAATCATTTTAACAAAAGGATCCCAAAAAACAATAAAAAAAGGACTAAATTTAAAAAAAAATAATTATATCACAAATTGAGATTGAAGGATTAAATTAAAAAAATTAAAATTTTATAAAAGGATCTATAACAAAAATAAAAAAATAAAGATCAAAGTTTAAATGTCAAAAAAATAAGAGAATAATTTTAAAATTTTAAATAGTTAGCTTGAGTTTCAAGAGGATGAAAGATAAAATATATATATATATATATATATATATATATATATATTATTTTTTTTAATGACAAACACTAATAGTATCACGTGCCACTCTACTAGAAAAAAGATGTTTTGAAGATTTTCAAACACTAACAATATCACGTGCCACCCTACTAGAAAAAAGATGTTTTGAAGATTTTAATGATACAGTGAAAGGGTCATAAAACCTTGGTTGTCTTTCATGAATTAACAAAAATTTTAATTAAATAATTATTTATATTTATTATATTATTAAATTTCTCTATTCAACTTAATAATAATAAAAAAAACTTATAATGATAAGAAAAATAAACTTGTAAACACAAGCTATAAAAGTTTGTTTTTAAAAGTAATCAAGTTATATTATTGTGTTAAAAAAAATATAAAGATAGAAAAAGTTTGGACGCTGAATTTTAAAATTTTACTTTTCAGGATAA